ATATAAAGAAATCTTTAAACTCAACAATAAGAAAATACACAATCAGATTTTTAAAAAATGAACAAAAGACCTTACCAGACACCACACCAAAGAAGATATACAGATGGCAAGAAGTATATGAAAAGATGCTACACACCATATACCATAATGGGAATGCAAATTAAAACAATGAGATACCACTATACACCTAACAGAACAGCCAAATTCCAGAACACTGATAACACCTAATGCTTGTGAGGGTATGGGACAACAGGAACACAAAATAGCAAAGCCACTTTGGGAGAGTTTGATGGTTTCTTACAAAACTAAGCATAGTCCCACTATATGACCCAGCAATTGTGCTGCTTGCTATTGAAAAGAATTGAAAACTTATGTCCACACAAACCCTTGCACTTGGATGTTTGTATGCAACTTTATTCAAAAGTGCCAGAACTGGGAAGTAGCCAAGATGTCCTTCAGTAGACAAATGGATAAATAAAAAGTGGTGCATCCAGACAACAGGATATTATTCAGTGGTAAAAAGAGAAATGTACTATCAAGCCATGAACTAATTGGAAGAAATTTAAATGCATATTCCTAAGTGAAAAAAACCAATATGAAAAGACTACATAGAATATGATTCCAACTATATCACATTCTAAAAAGTACGAAACTATGGAGAACTTAAAAAGATCAGTGGATTCCGGAGTTAGAGAGGAGGAAAGGATGCATTTACAGAACTTTCTAGGTGTACACCTAAAGGTATTTGGTTTACTGAATCAAACTATTTGCATACTCCTCTATGCTTCTAAAAAACTGAATAAGAGAAGAAGTGTATCTCTACACTCAGCGTGGGATATGAACAGAGCAGGAGGTTCGTGTGTTGTTGAATCAAAGAACCATGAGGGGAAAATGTCAGACCTGATAATGCTGGATAGGAGGCAAGAGGAACAGAGAGAAACTTCCCTGGAATAAGACATCCTTAAAAGAGGAAGAGGGGTAAAAGGATGGGGGGAAACAAGTAAGTTTTGCAGTAATTTGGGACAAGTGACTTTGAATTGTTAATGTCTGAATCTTTTAGGGCATGAGGTTATTGCATTTTCAGTAACCCATTCAAGAGTTACTCCTAATAATAAGTCATCAGAAGTTCCTTTCTCCCTTAATTGCTGAAAAAAGGGCCATATTCATAAGAAAATGTGAGTTTTGGAGCCTCGAGATATCAGACAACTTCCTGCAAAACTAATGCATTTCGGTGGGGGAGTCAATACTGAGAGTGCTCAGACTCGCTTTATTCTCATTCTGACAGAAAAGAAGAAAAACAACTTCATTTCAAATACCAGAAAGTTAACAATGGGACACCTCTCTGTTCCTTTCTTCAATTTATTCTTCAAAAATCTATGGAGTAGCAATGATACTTCAAACATACTATTACTGTGTGGTCGGTCTTCCACAGGCAAGTAATAAAACAAGATGCCTCTGTTCAACTTCATGTGTATTCAAACTCTTTTAATACGTAGCTCCCCTCAGTCCCCACAACACTACCTTTCTTCTGACAACAGGATCAATATACTCATCTCCTAGTAGTCTTACTTTCAGTCTCACCTTTCTCTATTCCATTCTCCATCTCACGGCCAGAGATTGTTGGAAAAGCCCGGGCTTGCTCACCTCACCTTGCTTATGTCTCTACCCTCCACGTTTTTCTCCTGCTTCCAAGTCTTCATGAGATGCTGTTTCCCATCCTTAACCATTTAGTAATCTCTTCCTTTTCTTCAAGGGGTCAGCTCAAGAGTGAATGCCCCTGTAGTGGAGCCATCCAGTTAAGGTTTCTCAAGGCTAAATTAGATGTTCTTTCCTATTCTTGTGACATTCCATGCATCTCTTTATCCTAGAAACTCACAGAGTGCTTCTATAATCATAGCACTCCTCATTCACCAGTCCACTGTATCTTACTGACATGCCCCCAGCTCTTAAACCCTGAGCATACAGGAGCTACTCAAAAGTATTTCGTGAAATGGATCCACAACATTATTATAGGATCTCTCATCAGGAGAAAGAATGCGAAATCTGAGACAGCACATACAATCTGTGATCTCTGATAACATGACCACAACCACTGAGAGATTTTTGAGATTTATTTTCCTCTTTCTCATTTTTAATGTATTCAGGTTAGTGGGAGAGCAAAAATAAAAGTGACTGAAAAAAATTTAAGCTGGGTAGTTAAAATGAATCACATGGACTATTGTGAGCTACGTTATTTATTTTTTAAATATTAATACTTGAAAGAGTAATTGATACATATAGCAAATAATATTCACACCAGGAGATCATACAGTTTAAAATTTTATTCAACAAACATTTTCAGATTACTTTCTGTATACCAGACACTATTCTAAAAATATCAATTCATTTAATTCTTATAACAACCTTAAGAGGTCATCACCACACAAATTTGGAACTTTCTTTACTGTCTTGTGATATTGGGCTGATTCTTTTTCCTTACATCCAACAGAAATACTTTGAATTGAAGAGCATAATAAAATCTGTAGAACGAAAAATTCTTTTTAAATGTCCTAAAAGGCATCAAAAGATCAAAGGCAAGAGATCACATCAAAATGAACACTGCAGTATTTATCATCTCTAAATATGCTTGCAAAAGATAAAACAAAAATGTAACTTGAAGATTTGAGTGGAATTTTTGTATGGCATTTGAGTACCATATATTTAAAACAAATTACCTGATAAATCATGGACAGGAGGAAGTGGAATACTTGTAGGCCCAAGATAAATCCGGGCTTGTCACAACATAGAACACATCAGGACAAAATCTTGAAAATATTCTCCTTTCTCCGTATTTACTCTTATAGTAAAGTGTAATGAATAATTGCAGGTAGAAGACTTAAAAAGAGCAGACTGAAGTGTAGACAAGTTGAAGTGCCCCAAAATGAAAGCTACTGGCACTGAGTTCTTAGGAAATAACATACCAGGTCTGTGTTTACGGATTGTCAATGACAAGGAATTTACCCACCTTAATGAATATGGATTGCAACTGGAGTTGCAACAAGCTTTCCCATTTTGAAAAGAATAGTGCATAGAAGAGGAAAACGCAGACATTATTAGTAAATCAGAGGAACACATTATACCACAGGATAAAGTTAGCAGATGTATTTCAATGAACGTGAATGAAGCCACAGAAACCTGCCTGTCAAATGTAATAATTACAAGAGGTCTGGGGAAATGGCTAATGCTTTGGCAAATAGTGTCAGCACTTAAGAAAACCTGGCTAAACCACAAATGAACAAAATTAAATTAATATGTGCATACATCCTACTTAGGTCATGTCATGTCACTGACCTTTTTGACCACCGATTTCTAAAACGGCCTTTCGGATTCTTCACTCTCGCCTCACTGTGCTTGCTTTCCATCCTAGCACTTAGCGCTTCCTAATATTTTTCTTACGCGTTTCTTCGTTGACTTGTTTCCTCTCTAACTTCACTAGAAAGTAAAATGCATGAAAGCAGAAACCTTGTTTAATTTGTATCACTAAGAATGAAACTGGAACACTAAATATTTGTCAAAAAATAAAATACCTATTTATTCTCTTCTCTTAAATATGAATTTGAAGAGTGCAGACTGGAAAAAACACTAGTATTTCTTGTGAAAACGGCATTTGTAGAATAATAGAAGCTCTAAGCTGGGATCAGAAGAACTGGACGCTTTTGCCATAGATGAGTTACTTAACGTTTGGTATATAATTTAATCTCTGCAGGAACAGTTTCCTCATTTGTAAAATGGGGCTAATAACCAACCTTTCAAGGGGTTTAAAATAATACGTTTGAAATAATTTTATAACCCCTAAATTACAAAACAAATGTGGAGAATTATGATTGGGAGTGGGGTCAGACAGGTTAATAACAAATGTTCAATGTGAACCTGTGTCCCATGACTTTTGAAAGAATAGTTAGATATAAACATTGGTTGCATTGAAATAATAGTATATATTTTGTACTGGCAAGACCCAAACAAGATTATCGTATTTCCATCTAGTTGTATATTATGTGAGATATTGACAAAGTCTATTGTCAATATGCTTATTGACAATAAAAGGAACAGTTTTCTAACCTTTAGAGCAGCCTCATGATGGTGGAGAGAGTGAATTGAGATGGTCTCATCCAAAGTAGATAGGGACACATCAATCATATTATCAGAAGGCTTCTAATATGAAACTGAAATTCAGATTAGATGGTTGCACAGATCATAGTCCCATGTCCAAGATCATAATCAAATGTAATATTCCTATCATGGTTATTGAGAATGAAAGGATCCTGAACTCACATTCTGACAAATCCCAAAATACTATTCTTAGAGACAAAAATCAATTCCTTAGAGAATGGCAGGTGACATCAGTCCTGAGTCAGTGAGAAGAAGTCCCAGTGGGGTGTGGTTTTCACCAGAGACAGCATTTCTGCTTATACCATTATATCCTACTGAGAATCCGTTGAGTGCTGTTTGGCATGTCACTGTTTCCTTTGCTTGACAACATTACCCATGAACACTTTTATGACCCAGGTGTCCTTCAAGGATTTGTGGCTGTATTTCTGATGACACTTGCTGTTGGAAGTACAAATTCCAGCTAAATATATCCTGCAATTCAAAAACGGTCTCATTCCCCAGTTTGGAGGAGGGGGAAAGGAAGAGATGCCTTAAAGATTCAGCAGGCGCTAAGTTGGCAAAGCCAAACAAATGTGAACATATTTGCCTGAAACGACTTTTGCACAGTCCTGCTTAAGGAGCCCAGTGGCCCCTCCTCATCACTTTTATATTTATCTTGCAAAAATAATAATACATCAACAAATCGCATGTTAACCTTGTGCTGACACGCTCTTCATGTCCACAGACCTACACGTGTCTGTGTATGGCTTATAGAAACTGCACAGGAGAAATGCAGGGAAAAAAAAAGTAGAAAGGAGGGAAATTTAACCCACAAAACAGGTTAAAATAATTCTCATTANGGTGTCATTGCTGCAGCCGCCGGTGCCCGGTCCCTAGGTCCTCGGCCGCCTCTCCTCCCGGTGCACATCGCCTGCCAAGACAGCAAAGCCGCCGCAGAAGTTGCTGGGCGTAAATAAGACTCCGGAGGCATTGGCTCCGTAACTTTTCACGTCATTTTCTGCTCCGGAGCCCCTCGCGCCCGCCGGCTTGGCAGTTCCCACGGCACATCACCAGTGCTCATGGGGCAGGGGAGGAGCGGCCTGCAGCGCTGAGCGGAACCGGACCGGGGCCCGTGATGTCCGGCACCAAGCTGGACGACTCCCCGCCTTGTCGCAACTGGTCATCTGCCTCGGAGCTGAATGAAACTCAAGAGCCCTTTTTCAACCCCACCGACTATGACGACGAGGAATTCCTGCGGTACCTGTGGAGGGAGTACCTGCACCCGAAAGAATATGAGTGGGTCCTCATCGCCGGGTACATCATCGTGTTCGTGGTGGCTCTCGTCGGCAACGTCCTGGGTGAGTCTGGTCCCGGGCAGCCAGCCCTCCAGGGCGCTGTCACGTCCCCTCCGCCCCCCGGCTGGCAAGGGCCCCGAAGACCCCTCCCTCCCCCTGGGAGGCAAACAAAGAGGTCGCTGCTCTCGGGGTGGGGTTTTCTATTTTAAAAAAAAAAGTTTTCTGATTTTACGAACCAGGAGCAAGCCCTTGGAACGGCGGCTCCTTTTTCTGCAGGGAGCGGCGGGGAACGCGTTTCCTTTGCGAGCACCTAGGTTACCAGCGGCCGCAGGGGGAGGGGGCGGGGGGAGGGGGCGACGGGGCATCTCCAGGTGCATCTTGTTAGTGTGGGGAAATTAGTCATCCTTTTGTGTAAAGTAGCTGTGTTTTTCCGGGGATTTCGGGAGAGGTGAAGCTGGCAGAATGCAACTCTGCGCCCCTTAGGAGCAAGCTCTCTCGGGGCTGCTGAAGTCACAAAGGATTTGGGAGCTAGGTAGGGTGCCCTTTGTCGAGGAGGTTTCAGCCCTTTCTGGAGGTGGAAATGAAAGGGTCGGGAGCGGAGACAGGCAAAGGAAGGACGTGCAGCCACGCTCTGATGCTGAATTAAACAGGAACCGGGCGGGGAGCAAGCAAGGAGGAGGGGCATCTGAGAAAAGTACCGAAGAGATGGCAATCATTCATCCATCCATCCATTCATTCATTCATCCACTCGACCAGTATTTTTTTTTTTTTTCCCCAGAGTATTCCTGTGGCCATGCTAGGGGAATGTTTGTACCTGACTTTTTTTTTTTTTTTTTCTAAGACCAGACCAAGCTTGATGCTAGGCTCTCTCTATGTGTTCCCTGTCTAGGTGTATATGCAAACGGATTTCCCCACCCACTCCCTACCTTTGCACAATTTCTGAGGATTGGGGAGGGGGCTGTAGTGGTGATAGGCTGGCTGTGGTGATGGGGTTTATTAGGGCTGCTGGGGAATCCACTTAAAGAAAAGGAGCTTTGGAAGGGAGGGACAACTTAACAGGAATTGTGAATGGAAGGAGGGTGTACCTTCATGAATGAAGAGTGGGAGGCGTTTCAGAAGCAGAGGGCAGTGTGGAGGGAATCTCTGCTGAAAATTACAGGAGGAGGTGAGAGAAGCTAGAAGATGCTCTTGATTTTCAGTGATTAAAAGGGGAAAAGATCAGATGGATGAGACGAGAGAGACTGGGAGGCTTTGAAGTTTAAAGTACGGAACGTGTAGCTGCAATGGAGGCTAAGGAACTTGGGCTTTCAGCACCTGCCTGATTTTTACCTTCTCCCCCCAGGTTGTCAATCTGGGCAGAGAGCCTTGGAAGTGGTGTCTCACCATCCAGCAGGCAAAGTAGTTGGTAGCATGTGACTGAGAGGCATTCTGGAGAGAGCGGGTAGAATATGATTTGATAAGAGAGAGAAGAATCTTCTGGGAACTTTAGTTTGTTTTTTCTGTATTATTTTTCTGGCTCTTTTCCTTCTGTTTGTTGTTTATATGCAAACCTAAAGGGAATCTTTTGGAGACGTCAACAGGGATGAGGACGGAAATACACATCATTAGAGCCCTTTGTTATAAGGATAAATCTGTTAATGACTCTCTTATTTGTCATCTTTTGGTCATCTATCCTTAGGGCTACAACTATTAAGACACATGACTACTAGCATAGCACATTTCACTGCATTATGCCAACACTTAATGATAAGTGAACAATCAAGTTGAACATCAATTGAGTACCTACTGTGTGCCAGATGCCTTCACATACCCTCTTTCACTGAAACCTTAAAGAAATGCACATTTGACAGAAGCAGCAAGATTTAGGGAAAAGAAATGCCTTATTAAGAAACATGATTCGGATTCAGTTCATTTCTTCTGACCTCAGGTCCAGAACTCTCCACTGATACTCCATTCTAGAGCTAGAAAGCATATAGAGAATGCATTCTTTGCTCCTGGTTGTCTACAAGCCTATTACATGTACTCCCTATTCTCCCTTGACTCTATGTCCACTGCTAATAAATTACCAAGAAGGGTTAATGGTTCTGTTGTTCTCTCCCACAACAAAAATATCCAGGAAGAAGGTTATTGCATTGCAGTAAAAAATTGACATGTTTTACAGGAATAGCTACAAATCATAACTATTTCCTTTCACTAATTTTATTTCAGGCTTAATTTCTGTGATAAAATCTGCTCCTTTTCAATGTTATTTCATTCAGGCTTTGCACAGACCTGTGATGCATAGTCCTCATATCCTACTTGCATAGTTTAGTGGTGCATATTTACTAGCCTGGGAGTGTTTTAGTCTCAAGAAGAATATACCTCTACAGCAAAGCTGCTTGTTTCATAACGTCAAGGAAGAGAGTACTGTCCATGGTAACAAGTGCTGAAATGGCCAATTCCATTCAGCTTAAAAAACAGAGATTTACTCAAAGCACCGTGCTCTCAAGATAGTGACAGCTGTTTTACTCAGGACTGAATGACAGTGAAATCCTCTCTGGCTGAACTGAAGCCCATTCTTTACTGACATATTCCCTGGAAGCTGATGAGGTTTAAGTCTGACATCTAAACAAATGAGCAGTGTCATTAATCACAAACAACTCCCTGCTTTTTGATGTCACCGTCAAATTTGCAAAATGGATTTGATTGAGAATTGCTTTTTGGCCCCTTTGATATAAGTTATTTTCTGCGGAGAGTTTCAAGACAAGGCATCACATTATTCAAGCAAGCTAAAGAGGCCACATTAGGTATGAAGGTGAAATACCACAGTGTAGGCAGCAGATGTAATCACTGACCCTTTAGGTTTATTTGCCATTTCACTTTCATGTAACTGACTACTTGGAAAAGCTTAATCTTGTTGAACTTACAAATATACTGTCATCAGTTATAAGTCCTTTCCCCCACAATGTCCTTTTGTGAAGTGATGTAACAGGATATGCTCTGAGCAGACAGTCTATGTCACACCACTTCTTCACTTCCACAGCCCCCCTCTCTCATTCTATCCCCTTATCCCCTCTCTGGTATCAGATGTTTCTTCCCAGAGGTGCAAAGTAGTTTCCTGGAAAAAAAAAAAGGGCACAAAAGTCATTCAAAATAAGGCCAAATTACTATGCATAGAATTTCATGAGTATTTGCATTCTAATAAAAGACACATGCATGTCTAATTATAGAATTTTAAGTCCTAAGAGGAAGGTGGGACAAGGTTCTTTTCAGAAGCGGTGTTTTTCCAGTATCTTCAAAATTATGCCACATAGAACCTATTTTTTATGTCTTGTACTATAGCCAAGTAGATGCATCCAAGCACTTGACCAGTACATTTTGAGCAATATGATGTTTTGAAAATTAGTGTGTGTGTGTGTGTGTGTGTGTGTGTGTGTGTGTGTGTGTGTGTGTGTGTTTGTGTGTGTGTGTGTTTGGGGGGGAAGGGCTCTTGGCGACATTTAAAAGGCTATATTTGATGTTGTTTCCTACTTCTTATTCTTTGAGTTGAAATTAGATGGTGAGACAGGTTCTGTCAGGTCCAAACTTTAAACATCTGAAAGAAATGGGCAGTTCTTTGACTCTCTTACTGCTCCATTCAAAGATATCATGATTTTCACCTGGAATGTTTCAGTTTTCCCTGTTGTTGTCTCCATATGAAAAATGAGAACATTCAACAAATGACATCAGTTCAGCGGTGTTTCTTGCTTTTTGTGTGACTATTAGCAAATTATTGAACTCACCAAGTATGATTTTTCCAATTGTAAATTAAGATCAATAATGCCTGCCTTGTAGAAATCTTATGAGGATATAATATATAGATATCCTCTAATAAATACATATAAGAGCACACATACAAATAATGTAAATATGTATATGCATATCTATACACACACACACACACACACACACACACATATATATATATATATATATATACACACACATTTGCTTTTTTTCTCAACACATAATAGATACTCAATTTCAATTTCTACTCCTTCATTCCCACTATTGAAATTTTTCCCTGATGTGGTTTGCAGCCATCTTCCACCTCCATGGCCAGTATGTAGCTCTGTGGCTCTTTATGGCCTCTCTGCTAGCCATTTTCTCCATTAAGTGTTTTCCTAAAAGCTATTAGCCATTTTCTCAATTAAGTGTTTTCCTAAAAGCTATTAGTAAATTGGAGTTGGCACTCCTTTTTGCTGCCAGCCCACCCACCCATCCCCTAGTAGATGTTTAGTGCCTCCATACTGATTGCTTAACATTGCCTTCCCACCTCTCTGCAAAAGTTGTTCCTAACTATCGTAATTTTCTCTCAGTTTAAATTGGCTTGCACTGGGTCCTATTTCTTCAGAGTTTTTGAATTGTTGGTTGATTGATCTATCACTATTAGTGTTTTAAATAGCACACACATGCAGACATACATGCACTGTTAATCTGTTGATTCAATCTAGTAAAGCACTTTGCTCACTAAGGAATATACTCATTAATAGTTAAGCTAAATTGGGTGGGTGGGATGGGAGGAATATCTGCAGTGCAGTTGCTTCTTACAGAGCTAATCTTGCGTCCCATATGCAGAAATGTCAGAGTTGTAAGTTCTTTCTACTCCTAAATCTAAGAGACTTAGGGCTTTTTTTCATAGGGCTGTGGGTGTTCGTAAACGCACCCTTTCATACACAGGAAGCAGAAGGAGGTCAGCAACGACACATTACTCATATCTGCCAAACCTGCTAGAAGTCAGTATAGTGACTGTAAAAGGTAATATTAGCCATTAAGCTTTAAACTTGAGTGTCTTTAGTTACACAATGCCAAATATGCTTATGTGAATAAGAATTAAACTGATGCCTCCACATTTTTTCTGAAACTCTAACTGCTTAGTTTTACTGGGTAAAATAAATCATGTTTTTGACTTGAACAGCATCTCCATGATAACTTTTTAAAAGGCTATCTCATAGGTAACAGCAACATTTATCATGGCTGGACAATAATTAGAGAACATGTATTACTGATAATTTAAATATAATGGATTCTTTTTATGTTTGAAA